AAATAATCATTATAAAGCAATCTTTTTGTGTTTTGGTTGGCATCTACAGAGTGTTTATTCCAACCAGGTGGGGCATAGCTCTGTGTCATCTTACTTGATCTTGCAATATTTTTTTTGGACTTATATACCGCCCCATACTGCTACAAGCACTCTCCGGGCGGTTTACAATTTCATTATACAGGCTACACATTGCCCCCCCCCCCAGCAAGCTGGGTACTCATTTTACCGACCTCGGAAGGATAGAAGGCTGAGTCAACCTTGAGCCGGCTACCTGGGATTTGAACCCCAGGTCGTGAGCACAGTTTTAGCTGCAGTACAGCATTTTAACCACTTGTAGCACGGATTAAGGAAATCATACCACCGCTGACTTGGTACCATTGATGCATACAAAGGGAAGCTTTAGTTGCTAAGAAGACACCAGAAAAACTAAGCAGACCTTAAAGGAATCAGTCAAAATTCTCAATTTTATAAAAAGCAAATCACTGAATTCAAAACTTTTGAACAGCTTTGCAAAGATTTGTGAATTTCGTTGTATGGTATACTGTGTATATACTTACAATGACAATAAATTATAAATTATATTAAAGATATGGACAGTGAACACCACCAACTTTTGCTACACAGTGAAGTTCATTGGCTGTCACAAGGTAAAGTTTCATCTTGTTTTGGGGAATTGAGAGATGAGATAAGATGATTCCTCTTGGAGAAGCAAGTTCACTTCAGGGATTGTTGGACAGGTTTTTCCTGGTTAGCCAAATTAGCATATTTGTCAGATAATCTTTACTCATTTAAATATGTTCAACTTAAATCATCCAGGAGAAAACTTTACAGTTATTCAAGTTGAAGAGAAGATTGAAGCAATTATCAAAAATTTGGAATTGTGGCATCATTGCCTATCGAGCTGAAACTATGAGACATTTCCAGACCTCACAAATATTCTTTGTTCCACCAACGAAGAGTTGTCTGAGGAAGACACATCACTTATTGCATGACATTTGGAAGATTTGCAGCATGGTTTCCGTGCATATTTTTCTGTTCCAGATGCAAGCAAGAACTGGATTAGAGATCCCTTTTCAGTTAATGTGTGTGAACTAGAGGGGCTCACAGCAACAGAGGAAGACAAGCTCATAGAAATACCCATGGATGGGGCTCTGAAACTGTAGTTCAAGAAACAGTCCCTTCCAAATTTCTGAGCTCACCTACAAGCAGATTTTCCAGAACTGTCAAAGAGGGCTATGAAAATACTGATGCCTTTTGTAACAACATACATACTTGTGCAAAAAATCAGTCTCTGCTCTCGTATATCTTAAAAATAAGTTCAGGAACCATCTGAAAAATGTAGAGCCAGAACTCCGAATACAAGTTTCAGCTATTAAGTCTGATATAACAAGGCTTGCAAATTATAATTAATTATAATTATATGAATAGAATTTGATCTTTTTTCCCCACCCAACTTCTGTTTAATGAGGTACAGTACAACTTTGTACAAATCATATTCATGTCGTTTTCTAGCTTTCATTTCATTTGAAGTTTTGTATAGATGTGTCATATTAATGATTTTATGTGCTTGTAATTTCAGGTTCTCCAGCAAGAATTAAAGATTGTTGTTGTTGTTGCTGCTGCTGTTGTTTTACATTTGTATGGAATTATGTCGATAAAAATATTAAAATAGGAATGTGAGCATTAACAGAATAACTTATTTCACCCTTCTCTCCAAATCTGAAGACCCTTCATGAGAAACTTTAAAGAAATATTTGATCTTTAGGGTTTTAAATCTTGAGTTAAGTCTTGGTGCCTGCCAACCTAGCAGTTTGAAAGCATGTATTTATTTATTTTATTTTATTTATTTATTTATTGTATTTATACCCCGCCTATCTAGTCATTTCGACCACTCTAGGCGGCTTACAACATAAGGATAACAAGTTCTAAA